CCCCCCCCATCCCTTTAACAGTCAGCATCGCTGCTCGTTCCCATTCCTGCTCTTCCTCTCCTCTGTTACCTTCTGCAACCCCTAACCTCCCTGTTTGTCAGACGCTCACAAAGACACATTTCCGGCGGCGTGGTTGTGCTCAGTATGACGAGGGCGTGTCACTGGGGGGGGGGCTGTATTACGAGGCCCCCTTTGCACTGTCCCACACGTGTTCAGTGTGGTGCATCAGCCCACCACCACCCATATCGCCGCTCTGGACACTTAACAGAAAAACCTTCAGCTGTCTGACTCTGACTTCACTGTTTTAGAGTCCAGATCGAAGCTTTTTAAAAATCTATTACTGTCCTTTATTTATTCAGATTAATGGGGGACCCCCCCCCATATCACATTGTAAGCACTTCCCAGCTATACACATATAATCATCTATATCCTCCCCAGTGTGGTGGATAAAACATGACTAGTCTTGCTTAAAGTAAGCTGTGCTTTTCAAAGCCTTCGCCCTCCATCCGGATCGATTGCCAGATTCTTACCTCCCCATGTCTGGAATATTGCTGTTTTGTGGGTTGGGTGTAGCTGACCCCCCTGGATGATGGAGAAATTCTTCCTGTGAAATGAAAAGAGCAACTCAACGGTCCAGTCTGCAGGAGACCGTCTGGGAAGCCTTGGAATTTCCAGGTGCATTTTTTTGGGGGAGGTCAGTTTCGACTGTCGAGAAGGAGAAAGTGGAGCACAGTTACCAGGGCTGTACGAAGGTCCCAGGTCCTGCGGTGTCTGACTCATTTCTGTTCTGTCCCCTTTGCTGCTGTCCCCACTCCCCAGCCCCCTGTCCCCTTCCTCTGCTTGCTGTCCCCCTTTTCTGCCCTTTGCCCCCTTCCCCTCCCGCCGTCCCCGTGTCTGCCCCCCGCCCACCCGCATTCGCATCGTGCCGTGTGTTGTTGTGCCCGGTGTCTGTCCCCTGTGCCCACTCCCCTTCTCCGGTTCATTCTGTGTTGCAGAAAAGGATTGTGTGGACGGCTCTGATGAAATCAATTGTCCGAACCCAACCGGTTAGTGCATAGATCAACATGCACCATCCTGCAGAGCTGCTGCTTTTGGGAGGGAGGGAGGGAGGGAAGCTGCTTCAGTACTAATAGCAGCTTTAGCTTCCAGCATTCGGTCTACTTATTAATGGATTTAACTCTTCCTGTTAGAGGCCCCCAGAAGCAGAAAGGTTAACTGAAACCGGGCTAGGGCTCCCCCTGTAGGTCGGCCCCTGTATGGCAGTGGTGTGTTTGACGCTGATGGAGCCATCGTCCAAAAAGGGGCCCAATCCACAGGCGCTAGACAGCATTACAGTACGGACGCCCTGCATACCTCCTTTCGCAACCCTCACCCCATTATCAGGGCGTTCCACAGAAAACTTGTCTCCACCATCTGTTGCCGCTGAGCTTGATGCCAGGCCTGAGTACTGTACATTCTCACATGGTGCATGGGTGATCTATGCAGTTTCTGTGATTTTAATTTTTAATCCTTTTTCATCCCATATTTCTCTCTCTTTCTTGCTGTCTCTCTTTTTCTATATCAGCCATAAAATCTGTATTGTGAAATGTTTGTACTTTCTGGGAGGTCCATGCTTTGGGGCTGTAACTTTAATGTTTTTGGAGCAACATGGTAACTTGTAGAGCAGGGCTCTTGTGGGGGGGGGGGGGGGGGGGGGGGGGCGGGGGGGGGCTTGGGGGGGGGGTCCGGGGGGGTCGGTCTGCTCCTCAGAAGGCAGCTCTAACCTTAGAAAGATGATATGCAGCCTCACTCTTTGGCCAGAATGGCCCTCTGAAGCTGATTTTGGGGGGAACTGGGGGGGTGGCTGTGTGCTTGGTGTCTCCCTCCCCCCCCCCCCGGGCTGGCAGGGTCCTGACCGTGCTCACCTTGCAGATAATGACTGCGGGGACAACAGTGACGAGGCAGGCTGCAGTCACTCCTGCTCCAGTGCGCAGTTCAAGTGCAACAGTGGTCGCTGCATCCCCGAGTACTGGACCTGCGATGGCGACAACGACTGCAGTGACTACAGCGACGAGACGCACGCCAACTGCACCAACCAGGGTGAGGCGCTGTGCTCAGGGACGGGGGGAGTTACTGCCATTAACCACAGGCTCCTTGAGCATCTGCGTTGGCGAGGAGTGTCTTTACACAGCCTCCGTGTACGAACTTGGATATGTAGGAACAAATAAGTGTAGCAGTTCTTAAATGGTAGCTCTCTCTCTCTCTCTCTCTCTCACTTTGTCTCGTAGCATTTCTGCATGGCTTAACCCGTTAGCTTGCCCTGGGCACATGCCGCTGCCTCCGTCTCGGGGCAGTGTTGCTATGGTGACCAGCTCTCCGTCTAAGTGGCGCTTTTGAGAGTGGCGAGCCGGTTGTCCCGTCTATGGTCTCGTTCCCAGCAGGCCGGCCCTGGGCTGGCAGCCGCCGGCCGCATGTAGGCCTGTGGTCCAATTCAGGCCGTTAATCACCTGATCTGAGCGGCACATCACGGGCCGATCCATGCCGGAAGGTGGGGGCCATTCCCTGTGGCCGCCGTACGTCATGGCGGATGCAGGGCAGGCCTTGCCTGGCAGCCCATCCCTCGACAGCCCCCCCTCCCCCAATCTCTGCTGTCCCCACATAGCTTCTTAAAGAACTTTTTTTTTTTCCTGAAAGGCTGGCACTGTTCCAGCCACCATGGGGCAAGAAACCACTCCCCCCCGCCCCGCCCCCCCCCCGTTTCGGCCAGGCCCTGACCCGTCCAGGCCCGCTTCCGGCCCGCTGTGTGCTGGGCTGACGGAGCTCATTGTTTTGGGTAGAGGGGCCCTCAGAGTATGCCGGGACTGGGCTGGAAGTCATTAATTCAGTGCGGGTTACAGCCCCCGCCCTGCTCATGCCCGCCAGCACCTGATCCCCACTGGACCGCCAGAGCTCGGCCTCTGCCGGGATTTTAATGCCGCACTTAATCGATCTCCCTTCCCTCCTCTTCCACGATCCCTGTGGGAATGCTGCGCTCCTCCATACGCACTAATCCCAGTTTTTTTTTCTAATTTTATCCCTTTACCTTTTTCTCCAGCCCCTGCATTAAGCTCGTGGGAGTTTTACTTACACAAAAATTTTCTGAGGGCAGAAGAAATAATGATCAGTTCAGAGAGATAACCGATCAGATTGTACAGGAGCGGGGTCCAAGCACCTAGAGGAGGCAGGACTAAGACAGCTGATTGGTTGGTCCTGCTCCTCTAGTTGCTTCTGGAAGATAACCAATCATTTTCCCTTCTGCCCTCAGAACATTTTTGTGCAAGTAAAACTCCCATGAGTCTGCATTAACTCCTTTCCAGATAAATTCAGCTGCACATGCTGTTAATTTGGCAACCTCTCGATCATTTCTGTATGACCTATTCATCCATCCATCCATCCATCCATCCATCCTTCCTTCTATCCATCTTCTAAGCACTTATTCCAGACAGGTTCTCCGGGCTCTGTTCACTAATTAGCATTTATACCACAGTACTGTGGAATTCTCAAATCTGAAAGCTGTTGATTAATTTCCTATAATCGCACACATAGTGCCGGCAGTAAATCAATGTGCGATAATAATATTTAATTCTAGAAAATGTAAGTTAACAAACTATAAAAGCAAAGGAATTGCTACAAGTCATCTAGACAACAGTGCTTCAGCCTGAGGATCAGGGCCAGTGTTCAGTGAATAAATGATTTCCTGATGTGATGCCTTGTAGTCCAGTCATACTTTACAGTCCCGTTAAACCTTCGTAAACGAGACGGCACCCAAGTCCGGGTTTAATAATCGGTAAACAATAAGTACTCCGGGTTTAACTCGTAATGCAGCTGAATACCAGGAGGTACATAAAGCTAAATGAATAAATCACTGGCTGAATATGTGCATATAATATTTACAACTTTTGCCTCCGCAGTCGTGGATTGCAAAACATAATGCGCAACTCGGAGTCCATTAACCCCTTTGTACCACAGTTACTACACATTTCACTTGCACGTTTGTACATAAAGACTGGCCTTTGGGCTTGGCAGCAGGCAGTCGCCCACCAAACACTGTCTTATGGTCTCAGCAACGGGATATTTTCAGATTAAAGATGGTGGCTTGGGTCGTATGTGAGCAAAGTGTTAATGGTGGTCGGCTTGGCCAGTATCTACTTTCCATCCCATGCTGACTTTACACTCTGGTATGTGGTATTTCAACAGTATTTTGAAAAGCAGCACTATTCCAGTATTTAGGAATGTTCCCTCACAGTACAGTTATGCCGAAATGAAATTGCGCAGTATATCCTAGGTTGTTTTACTAATAAATGCACTTTCGGTCCGTAAACTTGAAAATAATGTCTTTATGTATAAACATGTAAGCCAGATGTGTGGTTAGCGGTATTACCAGTGGGTTAATGCACGCCACGCTGTGCTTTATGTAGTTCTTTCCGCAGCCGTTACTTTACAGACGCATAATGCGCGGCTTCTTGTGAATTAACTCTGACTTAATCCTGGATGCCGTCGTAAGCCTAAGTAGTGACTGTATCACTTTCTCTTTGGCTTTTGGATCTGCATTGTTCTGCCTCAGTTTTACCTTTCTGCCCCTCCTAGATGCCCCCCATCTCAGAGGTCCCCCCCCCTCATCAGAGTATAGCCACTTCCCCCACCAATGCACTTGGATTCCCTGCGTTTGTGACGCGGGGTTTCCTCATGCGTGACTCGCGTGGCATCGTCTCCTGCCGGATTAGGTCTCTGAGTTAAAGAGCCAGTTTACTGTCCCCCATCTAACCTTCACCCCCTCCCCCCCTCTTCCCCGTGACCGCAGCCACGCGCCCCCCCGGCGGCTGCCACGTGGACGAATTCCAGTGCCGCATGGACAGCCTGTGCATCCCCATGCGCTGGCGCTGTGACGGCGACACCGACTGCGTTGACCTGAGCGACGAGAAGAACTGCGAGGGGGTTACGCACATGTGTGACCCCGCCGTCAAGTTCGGCTGCCGGGACTCCGGTGAGTTGGGGGGTCAATGCATGTAAACGGTTAAGGTATTTCTTATGATTAAAATTCTGCTGTCAGAGGGGTTGGGTTTTCTCTGCAAATCAAGCAAGTTTTAAAATTTCATTTGTCACACACAATTGTAAGTATAATTTGTCATGAAATGCCTTGTGTCTCAGCTCCAGACTGTGGGGAAGTAAAGGGACTTAAATTTAATAGGCGAGAGACGAAATACAACGTATTATGAACATTAGACATTATGTAGTAATGAAATACGTGTGGTGCACCCCCCCCCCCACAGCTCGCTGCATCAGCCGGGCCTGGGTGTGCGATGGTGACAGCGACTGCGACGACAACTCGGACGAGGTGGACTGTGAGTTGCTGGTCTGCAAGCTGTCCCACCATGTGTGCGCCAACGACTCCAGCGTGTGCCTGCCCACCGAGAGGCTCTGTGACGGCACAGACGACTGTCCCGACGGCTCCGACGAGAAGCTCTGCGGTGAGGGCCGGCCCCGGGGGGGGCGGGGGGGGGGGTCTGCTGTCCGCTCCTCTCCATTTCGGTCTCCATGGGGAGGTCTGGGCTTTCAGTCTCATGTCTACAAACAGGCTCTGCTCCTGCCACTTGTCTTCTCATGGCATGATCTTCTCGTTCACCGTCTCCCCTCCATCGCCTCCGCAGATCTGTGCTCCCTGGACAACGGAGACTGCAGCCACAACTGCTCGGTGGCTCCCGGCGAGGGGGTCGTCTGCTCCTGCCCCCTGGGGATGGAGCTGAGTGTCGACAACAAGACCTGCCAGGTGCAGAGCTTCTGTGCCAAGCACCTGAGATGCAGCCAGCGTTGCGAACAGGACAAGTTCAGCGTCAAGTGCTCCTGCTATGAGGGCTGGGCCCTAGAGGCAGACATGGAGAGCTGCAAGAGCACCGGTGAGGGGAGGGGAGGGGAGGGCTGCCAGCGGGTGGAGCGTGGTGGAGCGTGGTGGAGATAAAGTTACATTTACCTGAATTAATGTAGCAGATGGAAAGAAGGGCAGAAAAATCCATCATTAGCAAGACGGCCACTGAACTTCTCTTGATGGCGGAGTAAGAACAGGGCCCCCCACTGAAAAAATGTAAATTTTACATATAATTTTACATATCGAAGGGCCCCTGTGAAGGGCCGGGCCCCCTTGGATCTGCCATGGGATCCATGCCCCCCCCCTGCAGTGAGACTCGAGATGAGGGGGAGAAATTTGATCACGCGTACGATTGCGACCTCAAAGAAACGGCGACAGGGAGAATGTACTTCAGCTGGAGATAAAATACAGCCAGCGTGCGTGCAGAGTGTTTAATTAAGGAGCACTGCACTGCCGACGGGGGGGCAGCCGATGGGGGTCGGCTTGCCTTGGCCAAGTCCCGGTTTTCAGAGTAGCCTGACATAAGAGGGCTGTTTTTTGTCTTCTGTTTTATTTTGAGATTTCGGTTCTCTGGTTTTTCACGTAATGTGTCACCGTCGTCAACGAGACAATGTTGGGGTCTCCCCAGCAGCCATTTTGTCTGATGATGCACTTATTGCGACACCCCCCCGCCCCGCCTTTCCACACGCCAGATCCCTTCAAGCCGTTCATCATCTTCTCCAACCGGCATGAGATCCGGCGCATCGACCTGTACAAGGGCGAGTTCAGCGTCCTGGTCCCAGGCCTTCGCAACACGATCGCCTTGGACTTCCACCTCAACCAGAGCGCCCTCTACTGGACCGATGTAGTCGAGGACAAAATCTACCGCGGCAAACTCTCGGAAAACGGAGGTCAGTGTTGTGCCGTCACGCTGATGCACATGGGTAGTAAGTGTGGATGCCAGCGTAGGATTATTTGTGTGTGTTGCACATAGACGTCCCCCCCCGGTGACTAATTACATGATGTCATTCCCTTTAAATCCAAATTGCAGCCAAAATTAAATCCCAAGGAACAAAGTTTTCTTCTAATTGGTGTTTTCGTCGTTTTCTTAGAAGCTTCAATCTTTCATTACCTACGACGGGTGTCTAATTACATGTTTATGCAGATGTCAACAAGACACAGGTGAGCCCCTGGGCTGTTTGCCTCTTAGCTGCTGTTCTCTGGCCATGAGGGGGGGGGGGCAGCAGCCCACGTTCTGGAAGGGGGTGGTGGCGGCGTTCCACACTCAAACGGCACGCATTGCATAATTATGGGGAGGAAAAGTGGCACGTCTGAAGCTGGATGGAGGAGTCGGAATAGAAAATGAATCGAAGGTTCAGTAATGTGGGCAGTGATCCAGCAATGACCGTACGGACGTGGAATGAGTGAGGAGTGTTTTCTCTCGGCCGTTTTTTGACCCCGTCTCCACACGGCCTTGGAAGACACATGCAGCTGTCTCTCTGGTAGCCTCTCTTTACCCATCGGTCATGCTTTAACCCCCCGATGGTTTAAGAGGCACACCAATCGATCAGCATTGTTTTTTTGTTTAATACCCAGGAGTGGCATGCAGTACATAAGTTAACCCCCCCCCCCCCACCCTCCATTACTGCCTAATGAATGTTTTGGGCTCCTCCCAGCCAGGATAATGAACAGTTGCCGGTGATGAGACCCTTTGATTAGCACAGGAACAAACCAAGTGCAGAAGAGGGCGGAAATCACTGGGTTTTTGCCTTTTTATGTAAATGTCTGGTTCCTGCGTCCAAAAAGGAGCAAAAAGGAGCAAATAAGAGTTAGACAAACGTTTACTCTTGAGGTATAAAGGCTCTACCTTCTCATGTGAAGGCAAAACCCTGCACCTGCTGCTCTTGTGTCAGAAGCTTAATGGCACGACCCTTGTCTTCCTGCCTCTCTCAGCCCTGACTAGCCTGGAGGTGGTTATCCAGCATGGGCTGGCTACTCCAGAAGGTTTGGCGGTGGACTGGATCGCTGGCAATATCTACTGGGTGGAGAGCAACCTGGACCAGATCGAGGTGGCCAAACTGGACGGCACCATGAGAACCACGTTGCTGGCTGGGGCGGTGGAGCACCCCCGCGCCATCGCCCTAGACCCCCGCTATGGGTGAGATCATTGAGGCCACCTTGGGCTGGGTGTTGGAGACATCATTGGGCTGGTTGACATAGGTTACAAAAGTGAAGTTATCCATCCATCCATCCATCCATCCATTTTCAAGTTGCTTATCCTTATCAGGATCATGGAGAAAATGCAGTTAATCTCAAATTAATAGGAATTTAGTATGAAAGGTTAACGGAGACACAAGAACTGTACCAGCTTGAGTGACCTTGCAGGAGATGGTCCAAAGATCTCCAAGTGGTGTGTGTAGGGCCTGCATTTCACTTACAACTGGTAACGTCAACCCACATGTTCAACATAGTAAGACGGAGGAGATGCTACATTTCTGCAGAGCGAGAATCTGTTTCCATAACCTGATGTATCATCTACAGTCAGTGTTACTTTTACGTGAATCCACATCAACACTGGCCGCTCAGGCGAGACTCATACACTTCTGTGAATTTGATGTGAAGGCGTTCAGCCTCCTGCTCATTAAGGCGCCCAGTAAAAGGGGGATGGCATCTGCCTGGTGTATCAGTGGTATGACAGTCAGTTCTGTCAGTTTTTGGGCGAACAGAGTGACACTGTGCAGGTGTGATTTTGAGGGAAGTTCTTGCATAAGTTGGTGCTGCTAAGAGTCAGACAAAAAATTGGAATCATGTGGCATCACTGCAGACCAGTGTTTCCCAATCCAGTCCTCAGGGACCCACAGTGGGATGGAGCAAAAATGTGGAATATCTGGCAGGGAGCTTGGAGGGGGCAAAAACATGGACCGTGTTGGACTGTGGGTCCCCATGGACCGGATTGGAAAACGCTGCTGTAGATTCCTGACAGCTGATCCCTGCAGTGCAAACTCTTAAACTGGAATAATGGAGAATGTTCCCGAAGAAGTCGGCTTGTGTTTTGACAGGTTTTGCAACTATGTTGTGTGTACTTTCTGAGTTGTGCCACGTGACACCTATGACCTGTTTGTGTTGTCGGAGCGTCTGTGTTTGTGCCGGTTTCGCGTCTCGTGGCTGAAAGCCTCCTCTACCCCCATCAGCATCCTGTTCTGGACGGACTGGGATGCCAGCCTGCCGCGGATCGAGGCAGCCTCCATGAGCGGGGAGGGTCGACGCACCATCCACAAGGAGACGGGCAGCGGCGGCTGGCCCAACGGGCTGACCGTAGATTACCTGGAGCTGCGCATCCTGTGGATCGACGCCAGGTGAGCCCCTTCCATCGCCATGGAGACGGCTGCTCAAGTCCAGTCGGACTCCTAAAGAACTTTCAGTCTGGTCAAAACTGGCTTTAAAGGAATGAGAAAGGGCCGAGTCAGTCTATCTTCCCAGTAACTGCCAGATGGGGGCAGCGTGTGGCTCAATGGGTTGAGATGCTGTGCTTGTGGTCAGAAGGTTTTCGGTTCAAATCCCTGGGTTGGCAGAAAGATTTCACTGTCGGGCCCCAGAGCAAGTCCCTACACCACAACAAGTTGGACCTTGCGCTGACAATGCAAGGTCGTGGGTTCACATCCGAAGGAGCATCCAGAGTTGTGACCCTTTCCTCTACTGTAAGTGTGAATTAGCTGAACGTAACCCCCAATGTACGCAGGTCCGACGCCATCTACTCAGCCCGGTACGATGGCTCCAGGTTGATTGAGGTGCTGCGAGGGCATGAGTATCTGTCTCACCCATTTGCGGTGACCATGTACGGCGGAGAGGTCTACTGGACGGACTGGCGCACCAACACGCTGGCCAAGGCCAACAAGTGGACGGGCAGCAACGTGACTGTGGTGCAGAGGACCAACACGCAGCCCTTCGACCTGCAGGTGTACCACCCCTCCAGGCAGCCTCAGGGTACGAGCCGGACCTCTCCGCTGCCTGCGGGGACTGCACGATTGGGTTCTGATGGGTTCTGGGGCTTCCTGGGTGTAATTAATGCCACTTGTGTCTCACGCAGTGGTGAAACAGCGTCAGTGGTTAACTTGTCATCCCCCTGTCGATTTGTGGGCTTGGTTTTAGATTAATCATAAAAGGGCAGGTCTGAGATTCCTGATTGGGGCGGGGTGGCATTTTCTGTCACGGCGCAGTCACCTCACTGCCCGGACCCACAGCCCACACCTGCAGTGCTGCCCAGACACCCTCCTCCAGATGTTCAGTAGGTGGGGGGGGGCAGTTCTGAAAGCAGTTAATTGTAATTTTTACAAACACAGACAGCTATTTGCAGCTGGACTTTCCCCAGACATAATCTGCATCTAAAAATGTGACTCAGAGAAGAGGGCTGGGTTACTAGTAAATACTGTTCAAACAGTGACGTGCGAGTGATAATTTCTCCGTATTGCCTCTCGTGCTGTCCCCCCCCCAGCTCCAAACCCCTGTGCAGCCAACGACGGCAAAGGCCCCTGCTCTCACCTCTGCCTGATCAACTACAACCAGACGTTCTCCTGTGCCTGCCCCCACCTCATGAAGCTCGGGTCTGACACACACACCTGCTACGGTGAGGAGGACCTCCGACGCTGCAGGGGGCGACATTTGGAGGCGCCACTCTACACATTCTCAAATAACTATACTTAAGCATCAAGTGTGTGACAATCATGCCACAATATAGATTTTAATGTTGTAGAATGTATAATTACAATTACCTAAAATGTAAAAATTAGCTGGATAATTCTGCATTGTTTACAGCAATACAATAGGACTTCTGTTCATTATAGACTAGAAGCATGTTTGTGGCTGCTGTCAGCTTGGCCAGCCATCTTTAAGCCCGATAACAGTTTTTCATCCATATTCTGACATACCTCCAAAATGTGGGCCATATTCCCACATCTCCAACCCCCAACACCATAAAGCAGGGTAATTAGGTTTGTTTTATCCTGTTATTGGCCGCAGGGACATTTTAGACCACATGGGTTAGGTTTTTGAGTAAATGTACATATTGTGTTGTTTGTATTCATGGTCTGTAGTGAGAGTGGCTCTGACTCGTGGGTGCTCTGACTCGTGTGGGTGCTCTGACTTGTACAGCCCCCCATTTGTCTGACATGATCTTCCCAGCAGTCTTTTCTCTTCGGGGTGGGGGTGTGAGAGGAGAGTGGGGGTAGCTAGCTTGTTGGCAGTCTCACCTGACCCATTTTTTCTGTGAGGGGCCCGCAGCCCAAGATCCAAGCTCTTCGTCTCTTTCCCGAGGTTTTGGACGGACAACAGTAGCCCCCCAGACAAACAGGAGGCTCAGTCCTGTCCCATTTCCAGTGGGGGGGGGGAGGGGGACACGGTTTTAGCGCCTCCTGATGGGTTAAAACTTGCCCTGAAACAGAGTGAGTGCGGTGGGAGGTTATAGCCGCCTGGCTGCCCCCTCTCCCGGCCCCCCCCAGTCCCCGCCGTCTGGCTCTTTAGTATTCTGGTGCGCGACTTCAATTACCACTCTGCAGATCCGCGGGTAATTCGGGCGGGGGTTGCCTCGCAGGTGAAGCCGATCTGCACAGGCCTGGGCTGGGTGGGGGGGGGGGTGGCGTGTTAAATCAGCGTTATTATTGGGATTTCTCTGTTTTAATGGGTTCTCTAACCTGATGATTTAATGAACTGTGACCGTCCTCCATTGCTCTGTTTTGATTTTGACACCGAGCCGCATTAAGCGAAATGCGCACCGAGATTCAATCTTTCTGATTTATGGCCAGACTTAGTGCCACCTCCCTGCTTGGGTTCTTTCTTGGGGTCTTTGAGGCAGGACTACGTGAGATGCTGCTGTGTTAAGTACAAGTTGAGTTGGTGTTTGTCTAAATGCCCCCCCTCCCTCCATCTCTCTCTCCCTCCCTCCCTCTCATTGACTCCCCCAATCACCCCCAGAATCGCGGCAGTTCCTGCTGTACGCTCGTCAGATCGAGATCCGCGGCGTCGACTTGGACAATCCCTATTACAATTACATCATCTCCTTCACGGTGCCGGACATCGATAACGTGACAGTGGTGGACTATGACGCCCTGGAACACCGCATCTATTGGTCGGACGTGCGCACGCAGACCATCAAGCGGGCCTTCATCAATGGCACCGGCGTGGAGACCGTGGTGTCGGCCGGTGAGCCCCCGGCTCGCTCAGGGCTTTCTCACCATTTCCTGCTGATACTGTCATGGCCGCCGTAGATGTTTAAGGCACTTGAGGGCTCACTTTCCCTCCCTGCTCATATTTTTCCACCAGACCTGCCCAACGCCCACGGCTTGGCGGTGGACTGGGTTTCCCGCAACCTGTTCTGGACCAGCTATGACGCCAACAAGAAGCAGATCAACGTGGCCCGCCTGGACGGCTCCTTCAAGAACGCAGTCATCCAGGGCCTGGACAAGCCGCACTGCCTGGTTGTGCACCCCGTGCTTGGGTGGGTCTGCCTGCCCTTCCCTGCTCTGCCCGGCCCTCATATCTCCCCCAACCTGGGGTCTTCATCAGGCAGCCCAGCATAGTGATCTGGTTTGATCACACCTGGCAGGTCCATTGCCCCCATTTCTCCTCTGCAGATGGTCTGTGTCTGACACCCCCCCCCCTTTCTCTGGGGGTCTAACTGTAAACCGTTAGAGGAGGGAATTTTTGAGAAGGCATGAGCAGCCCGGCGTACGTTCCAGGGGTTGCGGGGGTGTTGTTTAAAAGTGGTTCTCTCCCCCCCCCCCCCTTTCCTTTTTTCTCTTCTCTTTCGTTTTTCGTAAGCCTGACTGAGGAGGGTTTCCGGTCAGGGCTGTTTTTGGTGCCGGACGATAAATGAGAAGCAGATGTTTGCCTTGAGGGCTGCAGCCGCTCCAGTCCGCCTCTGCCAGGCTTTGGATGATGGGGAATTGGGAGGGGGGGGGGGTACAAAGAGCAGAGAAGAGTATCTCCTCCGAAGTGGGGTGGGATGTGGCTGCGAACGGAAGGTCGTAGGTCGAAATCCCAGGGTCAGCTGTGTAACATCAGCTCTGGGGTCTTGAGCAAGGCCCTTAAGCACAGCTGTTTCAGGGGCTTGCTGACCCTGTGCTCTCAATTGTATGTTGCTTTGGACAAAACTGTCTGCTTCTGCGTCGGGGGCGCGGGGGGGGTATTGTTTGTCTTTTTTTCTCTCTTTAAGGTGGAGACATTAGGGATTATTTAGTGGGATATCAGCACTACTTTTGCCTGGAACATCACTGTTTCCCTTATATGGGAATGAGACTTATCTACACCCTGAGTGTGTTTATGTCTCTGGCTGAGTGCTGTACTCCATGTCTGTATCTGTGTGTTTTTGTCTGCGTGTCTGCGTGTGTGTGTGTGTGTGTGTGTTCGCGTGTGCGTATCTCTGTGTACACACCCCCCGTATCTCTCAGCAGCATGTGGCCCTGGTCGCCGCGGTAGCGCCGCGCCGTTTATAATGTAGAGGTTTCCAGAGTTCCTCACCACTCACAGCCCCTCTGTTGAGGTGGCCATCCCCGGGGGGTGGGGGGATGGGGGGGGATGGGGGCGTGCCGGCTCGCTCCTGGCTGACGGCGGCAGGATAATGGCATCCTCCCTGCAGGAAGCTTTACTGGACGGATGGAGACAACATCAGTGTGGCCAACACAGACGGCGGCAACCGCAGCCTCCTCTTCAGCAGCCAGAAGGGGCCTGTGGGTGAGTCGGGCTCCTCTCACCGCTGGAGAAGCTCTTTAATCATGAGCTGCTCTCCACAGTCGCTCTCTTTACATCCGACCTTTTCACTTCACGACGGTGCCCTGCTGTGGCCGGGACCCCCCCTTGCTTAATTTTCTCTCCTTCTCTCTCCCCCACTCTCTTCCTCCCTCTCTCTCTCTCTCACTCTGTCCCCCCCCCTACCAGGTCTGTCTATCGACTTTGACGCCGAGCAGCTGTACTGGATCAGCTCGGGGAACGGCACCATCAACCGCTGTAAACTGGATGGCAGTGGACTGGAGGTCCTAGAGGGGGTCAAAGGCAAGCTGACCAAGGCCACAGCTCTGGCAATCATGGGTGAGTGGCAGCCATCCGCTTCCCCTGTGCCATGAGTCGGCTCGAATCGCTGTGTGAGCTGATGGGCTCCCGCTGACTGCCCCCCCCCACAGGTGACAAGCTGTGGTGGGCCGACCAGGGCACAGATCGCATCGGCACCTGCGACAAGAAGGACGGAGGCAACTGGAAGGTGCTGAGGAACACGACGTCTCCCATGATGCACATGAAGATCTACAACGAGACCGTCCAGAGGGGTAAGTGGCGGGCCGCCTCGGCCAGCGGGGGCCCCCCCAGGGCCCCCCCCCCCCCCAGCACATCATGTTCTGACAGCTACGCGTCTGTCGTCAGGCACCAATCTGTGCAGCAACAACAACGGCGACTGCTCACAGCTCTGCCTCCCCACCTCGCCGACCACGCGGGCCTGCATGTGCACGGCCGGGTACAGCTTGCGGAGCGGCCAGCAGTCCTGCGAAGGTACACCCCCCCCCCCCACACACCACTCCCTTCATTGCCCGAGAACGTGCCTAATTTCTGCATTAAATGCTGTCGGATGCATCCTTCTGATTCCCCCTGGGGGGCGCTGGGTGTAACAGGCCTGCTCTCCTTTTCCACTTCCTGCAGGCGTTGGGTCCTTCCTCCTGTACTCTGTCCACGAGGGCATCCGCGGAATCCCCCTAGAGCCCTCGGACAAGTCGGACGCACTGGTGCCCGTGTCGGGGACGTCCCTCGCCGTGGGAATCGACTTCCACGCGGGTGGGTCATGCTGACTGCTTCCTCTTGCCTCTATTTTGGGTTTCTTTGCCATCTGAACCGGTGGTAACGTGTCATCTTGCCCCGCCCCCCCCCTCAGACAACGACACCATTTACTGGGTGGACATGGGCCTGAGCACCATCAGCCGTGCCAAGCGGGACCAGACGTGGCGCGAGGATGTGGTGACCAATGGCATTGGACGCGTGGAGGGCATCGCTGTGGACTGGATCGCAGGTTGGGTCTTCCGGAAACCAGGCAAACCTGTGCACCCACACACACACACACACACACACCACACAGGTTTGTGATTATTTCTTTGTGGGGACCGTCCAGTCATTTCTATGGGAAAACCCAAATCCCAACAATGACAACCTTAACCCCTACCCAGCCCTAACACGCACAGACACACACACACACACACACAGCGTACATTTTTAAGGACAGAAATCCTCGGGTGAACCACATCGCAGAATGAAAGCAGATGAAGACAGGACGGGGGACCTCAGAATGAAAGCATGTGAGTGAATCTGTGTGTCTGTCGGAACCTGCACAGGAAACATCTACTGGACTGACCAGGGCTTCGATGTGATCGAGGTAGCAAGGCTGAACGGCTCCTTCCGCTACGTGGTCATCTCCCAGGGTCTCGACAAGCCGCGTGCCATCACCGTACACCCGGAGAAAGGGTAAGCATGCCGGGTGTGGTCGCAGTCATGGTCACAGTCGAGGTCATGGTCACAGTCGAGGTCATGGTCATGATCGTGGTCCTGTACGTTCGCTGTGAGTAAGTCCCCCTCTCTCGCAGGTACCTATTTTGGACCGAGTGGGGGCAGTACCCACGGATCGAGCGATCCCGTCTCGACGGAACCCAGCGGGCAGTGCTGGTCAACGCCAGCATCAGCTGGCCCAATGGGATCTCCATCGACTATCAGGTGTGGCGCCAAACATGCCTCCACTTCCTGGTCACTTCCCATGATCCTCTGCATCACGGACTGTATTTCAAGCTGGACTTTCTTCAGGACCATCTCTTGTCCCTCCTGAGTCCTCATGGTCCCTTCTAGGCCTTGAACCAACAAACTTCACATTTCTATTCACTTTTATTTAGCAGGGTCTTTTTGTCCAAAATGGCGCATTTTTAAGTGCGACCTTCTTGCTGTAGCTCAGTTTTCTTCAGATGCGAATGGGGGGTGTGGGGCTTGCTTTGACGGTGCCGATTTTGTGTGTGTAGGAGGGCATGCTGTACTGGTGCGACGCCAGGACCGACAAGATCGAGCGCATCGACCTGGAGACGGGGGAGAACCGGCAGGTGGTGCTGTCCAACAACAACATGGACATGTTCTCCGTCTCTGTCTTTGAGAGCTACATCTACTGGAGCGACAGGTGATTGGCCGAGCCCTCCGTCTCTTTCCCGCTGTCCTGCCCCCAATCTCTGTAACCCACAGCTGTGGTCCTAATCCTGCCCACTCCTTGGGTTCCTCAGGAGGCCCTCAAGAGACCTTTCACTTGTACACTCTCCCATAGCTCAAAAAGTAGAGCGCTAGCAATGCAAAGGTCGAGGGTTCGAATCCCAAGGAACACACATACTGTAAGTGGATAAAATTTAAAATGATGCAACTTTGCACCTTCCCCCCCCCGGCCTTGTTTTGCGACAGGACTCATGCAAACGGCTCCATAAAGAGGGGCAGCAAGGACAACTCCACTGACGCCATACCCCTGAGGACGGGAATCGGGGTGCAACTGAAGGACATTAAGGTCTTCAACAGGGACCGACTGCAGGGTCGGCACCCCCCCCCCCCCCCCCCCCCGCCCCCCCCCCCCACCGACCAGAGGCCCGTCCTCCCCCGTGGGCCCCAAACTTCACTTTTAATCACAGCTTTTTTGTAATTCTAAACACATTTTTCAGGTTCTGAGGCGGCATGTTAAATCCACGTGTAAAATGTCACAGGCGCTCGACAATCTCATTTTGTTTGACTTTCCTGTTCCCAGACGACGAGAGCACGGTGTTGGGGGAGGCTCTCGTTGCGGATGTTTGCCAAGGTCCCGGTGAAACGTTATTAACGGGCATCAATCTTGCCTCCAGGGACAAACGTCTGCAAGGGCAACAATGGCGGCTGCCAGCAGCTGTGCCTGTACCGCGGTAATGGGGAGCACACGTGCGCGTGTGCCCACGGGATGCTGGCAGAGGACGGGCGCGGTTGCCGTGACTACGAGGGCTACCTGCTCTACTCGGAGCGCACCATCCTGAAGAGCGTGCACCTGTCGGACGAGAGCAACCTCAACGCGCCCATCAAGCCGTTTGAGGACCCGGAGCACATGAAGAACGTCATCGCGCTCACCTTTGACTACCGCGGGGGCGGCGGAAAGGGCGCTAACCGCGTCTTCTTCAGCGACATTCACTTCGGCAACATCCAGCAGATCAGCGACGATGGATCCGACCGCAGGACCGTGGTGGAGAGTGAGTACCCCCCCCCCCGCGCCCCCCCCTGCCCCCAGGTCACTAAGGTATAGACCACCTGACACACCACAATGCAAAGTAGACGTACATTTTATTGTCTTACAACGTTATTCTTGTTACACCAGCATCCTGTTCCGTTTGATTGTCTGTGTGCTTGGACATTCTGCGCCATTTTCCGGCATTTTCTCTTGAGCTCATGGAACATCAAGGCTGCTGAAAACTGTCCTGTGTGAATGGAACACACACACACACACACACACACACACACCAAGAGCTGTTTGTAAGTCGTAACCCAGCACAAAGGGGGGGTGTCTCCTGCTCCTGATGTAGACATTCCTCTAACAGCCCCCCCCCCCCCCCGTGTGTCTGGGTCGGCCATCTTGTTCCCTTTGTCTTGTGAGCCGCTGTGCCGGGTGTCAGGAGAAGAGCATCTCTGAATGCCCCTGACCACGACTGCATTCCTCCTCCGCCGCCCCCTCCTTCCTCCCCGGTCCCCCCCTCCCAACATGCTGGGCCTCATTCAGGCACCCCCCACCCCTTGAAGAAGCGCCCCCTTCCGTGAGCCGACATCTGGGCCATGCAGAGCAGCGCGCTGCTGATCACCCTCAGCTGGGCTTCTTCGAACCCAGAGCTGTTCCCCTTATCAGCTCCAGCCGGGAAACCAAAACAGCGCTTTTGATCGGGACAGTCTAGATAAAAGCTGGAATTCTTTTTACATTGAACAAATAAAGGCAAGAGACTCATTTCTTGCAGTATTTAACACACATGCGGAAAGGTTTTGGGTTTTACTGTTTTGTGTGAATGTTTCGCCGACGGGCAGGTTTGTTCAGGGTTTAGTCTGTCCTCTGCGTTCGGTCTGTGTATCCACGGCTGCTTCAGGGGGATGTTTTCCGGAAGCTTCTCTGCCTGACCCCCCCTTAGTCTGGGGAGGAGGGGACAGTTCTACTGGGTCATTGTGTTTCCCCGTGTCAGCGGAGCGGCCTGGACAGCAGCATCCCCGGGAAGGACCCCCCCTGCAAGAGGCACCCCGGCACACACGCAGCAGGTCGCTGCGGAACTTGTGCGACATGAAGACGTAGAGGATGGGGTTGGCTACGGTGGAGGAGATGGCGAGCAAGCGGGCCACGATGGCCAGGGGGCCGTTGCGGGGTGCGTGGTGCAGACCCCGGCCAAGCAGGCTGAACATGAGCACGTAGGAGGGCAGCCAGCACAGCGTGAAGGCTATCACCAGCAGCCCCGAGGTCCGCGTCACCTGGTTCTGGTAGCGCTCCAGCTGGGGTGCCAGGCCTGTGCGCCTCCTCGCCCTCAGGAACCAGTAAATCCGAGAGTACATGAGGATGATGACGGCCAGCGGCAGGGCGAAGGCCATCAGGAAGAAGGCGATGCTGTAGACCAGCTGGCTGATGTCGGACAGGAACGCGAAGCAGTACAGCTGGCTGGATGGATCCATGGCGCGGAAGGCAAACTGCGGGGCGGCTAGGGCTACGGCGGGGAGCCAGAGAGTGCCGGCCAGCAGCCAGAGGTGGCGGTGGGCGCGGGCACGCAGCGCCGACGTGGGACGCACTACCGTCAGGTAGCGGGAGACGGCCAGTGCGGCCAGGGTGAAGGCGCTGGCACAGGAGCAGGCCGTGCCCAGGAAGCTGACCGCCTTGCAGAGGACGGTACCAAAGGGCCAGCGGCCCAGTGCTGCTGCCGCCGTGTGAAACGGTAGGCAAACCAGCAGCAGCAGGTCGGCGCCGCTGAGCGCCAGGAGGAGTGTGTCCGTGCCGTGGGCACCCCCCCCCCGCCGCTGCCGCCGACGGCCCATCAGGATCACCACCACCAGCGAGTGGCCCAGCAGCCCCGTCATCGTGATCAAGACCTCCAGCACCGGCAGGAGCACCCTCTCCACAGCGGTGCCCTCCAGCGATGTGCCATTCGCCTGCAGGTTCTCCGCGTTCTCCATGGGGAACCCGGCACTGAAATTCTCCCTCGGGGGCAGATTGGTCACGGCTTATTAAGACAGTGCAGATGAATGGTACCGGCGATGCTGATGGCTATGATGACCCCGGCTTCGTTTGGAGGGAGGTGTCCGATTTAGGCGTGGGGTCCTTTCTGCCTCGCCGAGATAAAAAGCTCATCGTTCTTCAAGTTAGAGTCTCCTCGGTCTCTGACCCTTCAGTCAGCGACTCTCTCTGCCTCTGCCTGTTAATTTCTGAAGGGGGAGGAGGGGGGGGGACGCAGGGTTACACGAGGCCATTCTCATTTGTGAGATAATGGCAAAATGTAAATCTGTCCCCGGGGTCTGTAGGGAGGGGTGCATGTTCTCACCAGTCTCACAATGCCGAAATAAACGTCCCCATCAGAGCTGGGTTAGTTTCTTCCAGTCCTGCTCGCTGCAGAAGCCTTTACGCCGGTCTCTGTGTGTCCGTGGCCGACGGCTGCAGCAGAGGGGCTGCCGCGGCTCCGGGCTCGCCGTTAGCGCTCGTTCAGTCACCGCTCTACTCAGAGTAAAGGGTGCGGAGTTGATTATTAAGCGTCCGCGATAGCGACACACGAGAACGCTCCCGAAGTTCATCCGCCGCAGCCACAACTTGGGGAAGCATCCGTTCCTGGCCGGCGTGAGGACGGCGGGGCGGGGGGTCCGGTCGCCAGCGCTCTCGGCACCTGTCGGATCTCTGGATCTGAGCTAGGCAGGTCGCCGCGGCCAAACCGTGACGCCGATCCCGGGCGGAGCGCTGTTTCCGTCAGCCCGACTCCTCTCAAATAAAGCCTCTGTTTGTTCCCGTGTCTTCCTCTGCAGTCTTACTTATTAACCACTATTTGATTTCATTTGTTTTGTCCGTTTGTTCTTTCACTAGCCCGCGTCGTGACGTCAGCTTGACTCGTCTCATGCTAACCAAGCCAGCACAGCTTTTTAAATCAGTCGGTCCTGATTTTTAAAAAATAAATAATAATTAATTGGATTAAATAAAGATTTGAACCAGTTTTAACAACCCGCCACACAACCCTGCGTACCGTCCTGCCGCCACCAGTCCTCCCCGTCTCATGTGTTCCCTCTGAAGTTCTGAGAGAAGGTAATTACTGAACTTTTACCCACGAACCTGCCTGGAGTACCTGCGCCTTTTATAACGGAGATTGCGGCTATAAAATTACTCAACTGAGATGAAAACCATAGAGAGAAAAAGTGGAAGCCTTTCAAGAGGTCATAAATTGGACTGTATACATCTGTTGCTAGATTGGAGGTCTAACATGATATGCTATATGGGAGGGCGGTGGGGGCTGGTGGGGGGGGGCATTTGGGAACATGTTCTCAAATCAGGCAGTTTGCTCAAATGATCTTGCCGTTCAGAGACTGTTCTATTGCAAATGGCTGCTCACGCTTGCTGTGATTTATTTAGGCTATTGGCATAGAATTCTCTAGAGGTCCTGGCCTCAGGTGGACGATGGGTGAAAGTTGCATGTCCTCACCCTGTAACTGTTACTTTTTTTTTTTTTCTTTTCTCTTTTTCTATCTCTTCTTGATGTCTGAACATGGCTCTGCCGCCCCCAGGGCGCTGAATCATCCCAGAGATATGACTCAGAGCAGTGAAAACGCCCGCTCCGTACGCACCGCCTGTCAGCCGCTCTCTGCAGACGGGTCCGTGCCGCAAACAGGCCGCCCGTCCCGCCGGTGCCCGCGCTCGGCCGCCTGTATCAGATCTGGCCGCGTTTAACATTAAGCGCAAGTCGCCGAGCCGACTGCAGATGATTGAGATCCCAGGCAATTCTGAAAAGCGCTTTAGGGCCAGACTCCCGCTTCTCAATCCTTCTGGGGTCAGGCGGCTTAATTGAGAATTCGAAAATCCTTTTATTCTGAGGGAAAAGATAATCAGAATCCTCTATCCTGCCAGACATTTCTGATCTCTCGTTTTGGTTGCTGTTTTTTCTTTCAGTCCCCGTGTGTAAAGGTGCAGAAGCTGACTGGATTTCAAATTCTCTGCCACTGGCTGGTGTTACTGCTGATTGATACCCTCTCTGAGTTCGTTAGCGGCGTTGGTTAATTTAGACCAGGCCTCAGTCCTCCAGTTTCTTTTTCGAACATGCCACGTTTTACCCTCCACTATGATTGCTTTAAAATAGTGTGAGGTATGAGGTATAGAAATAGCATAAAGTTAATTTCCCTTGAATTCATGTGCCGTTTCATCTGTTTGTGGAAAGCAGACCTGCGTGACGGATGCATTTTCACGCCATACGGGGAGCTTGCAATGTGGAAAATGGCACTATATCAGAAGTGTTACACTCTCCGTTTGCCACTGAAATATCTGTTAAGATCCATTTTTTTTAAATCCCTTACCGATCTCGAATACTTTTGTCTGAGGTTAATTTAGTGGTTCGCAAATGTTAATTGCTTTTACAATGTGAATTCAGGAAGCAATTAAACAAAGTTGATCCTTGAAAGGCATTCTGCACCAAGAACATAAAATATCCTTAAAAACACAAAATGAAGACTGGATTATCCGCAGGCTGAGCTTGCTGTCCAATCTCTGCAGATGTTTTTTGGTGGCTAAGGTTCCACTAAAGCTATTGTGAAGGACTGTTTTCTCCTGCCGTATAAATGCAGTGACTCTTTGACACTCCGGTTAAGTGTCAGCTTGAATGGGAGAGGAAATGTAATTAGTGCAAAAGCAGGCGAGACGACTTAGCACCTCCAAGGATGATGTCAGGGTCCACCTGCTGGACCGGGGGGGCCTCCTCGCTCCCCCTAGTGGGCGGGGGCTCTGCGTGACGGCTGCATATCCAGCCATACGTGGGCTGTTTGTTTCAGCTTCTCCTCCGCTCCACCCCCCCATGACTATGGACAGAAATATTACTGGGCTTGCTATCTTGGGAGCTGAAAATGAGGCACTGCGTTCTGTCTGTGCTTATTTTTTTCCGTAATGGTTTGCATTGTTTATCAGCTAAACAATTTTTTCCAGGCACTATCCCTTCTGTCTTTTTTTTAGAAGCTGATACCACCTCCAGCGGGGGATTAGCCCACTGGCTGGGCACTTTCAGTGACCCCTGGGTGGGTCTGTTACGCTTATGATGTGAGGGGGAGGAGATCTTTGTTTTGTTGATCGTCCTGGTCTCTGGTTTCTCTCAACAGATGTGGGTTCTGTGGAGGGCCTGGCCTACCACAGAGCATGGGACACGCTCTACTGGACCAGCTATACCACCTCCACCATCACAAGGCACACTGTGGACCAGAACCGCTGGGGTGCCTTTGACCGTGACACTGTGGTCACCATGTCCGGAGATGACCACCCCCGTGCTTTCGTGCTGGACGAGTGCCAGGGGTGAGCGCAGCCCGACTGAACCTTTCACTGCGCTACAGAATGAGTTTAGTCGAAATTTGTGCAGTCTGACTGAAGCTGGGTTGTTGGTGCGCTGCTGCCCCCTACAGGCTGATGTTCTGGACCAACTGGAATGAGCAGTCACCGAGCATCATGCGAGCCACACTGGCGGGTGGTAACGTTCTGGCCATCATCAGCAGCCACATCCGCACCCCCAACGGTCTGGCCATCGACCACCGCGCGGAGAAGATCTACTTCTCTGACGCCACCCTTGACAAGATCGAGCGCTGCGAGTA